CACTATCAAGGTCTTCTAATGACTTCATTAATCTATAGTTCTTTAAATCACCTGCGAACGGCTTAAATTTACACATTGAAAAACACTTGACAATGTCGTTGATGAAAATGTTGAAGAGAAGAGGTGAAAGAAAGCCACCCTGAGGAACCCCAGAGCTTGCACTAATGACCCTTCATTGAATACCATTCAATGATACCACCTGCATTCTGCCAGATAAATAGTCAATCAATCAATGAGAGAAATTGCCACCTATACCCAGCACTTCTAGTTTATGAAAAAGTAGACCATGGTCTTCGCGAAATCAGTGTAGATTCCATCTACCTGGTTTTTATTTTGAAAGGCATCGAGTATATCCTGTTGAAACGATAAGAGGTTTGTTAGAGTTGATTTATTCTTGACAAAACCGTGTTGTTCCTCATCAGTAATATCTATACAGGGTGACTTGCTACTCGTGCTACAAACTTCACCAGTAGATTCTTGACCCTAAAATGAACAAAAAAGTTCATATTGACCATGGTCCGATTCTCAACCATTTCAGAGTAATTTCGCTTTTTATCGATTTTGAAAGATATCACGTCCTGGCGTCGGAAAATCGTGATATCTTTTAATCTAAACATTTCTCTTAAAATCTATAAGCACCGTTGAAATCCCCGTTAATTTTTAGAGAGAATCAAAATCATAATTCCATTGAAATTTTTTAATTTAATTTAATGCCCATTTAGTATGTAATGCTTAAGAAGTTTACAAACAGCTAGAAGGTCAAGGAAGAAAGACCCAAACGTTTTGCCACCTTCATCTTCTTATTGAAAAATTAACGGGGATTTCAACGGTGCTTATAGATTTTAAGAGAAATGTTTAGATTAAAAGATATCACGATTTTCCGACGCCAGGACGTGATATCTTTCAAAATCGATAAAAAGCGAAATTACTCTGAAATGGTTGAGAATCGGACCATGGTCAATATGAACTTTTTTGTTCATTTTAGGGTCAAGAATCTACTGGTGAAGTTTGTAGCACGAGTAGCAAGTCACTCTCAAACATTAGCAATCCTTGAACCACCATTTTTTCTCTTTTTGTCATCAACATCTTGGTCTCACAACCACTAAATAAGAAAATGACGAGTGCGTTGGAAGCGTTATTAAATCAGGTAGTTTTCCTCAAATTTGCTGCCTTCTGAGACTAAAATTAGAAACTCTGGATTACTTTATACACTTTCCGATTTACACAATTTTCCACTCTTTTTGTAGTTCTGGCTGAAATAAAACACAAAAAATTAGCCCAAACATTTTGCCACCGTCATCTTCTTATTGAAAAATTAACGGGAATTTCAACGGTGCTATTAGATTTTCAGAGAAATGTTTAGATTAAAAGATATCACGATTTTCCGACGCCAGGACGTGATATCTTTCAAAATCGATAAAAAGCGAAATTACTCTGAAATGGTTGAGAATCGGACCATGGACAATATGAACTTTTTTGTTCATTTTAGGGTGAAGAATCTACTGGAGAAGTTTGTAGCACGAGTAGCAATTCACCCTGTATAGTCTCGCCTATACTGTTATTTTGTAACTATAACAAACATGAGACAAAAAACATTATTGTTTTAAATATTAAGGACCTAGGTAACATTCATGAAACATGGAATAAAACCCAAATGTAGCTTCATTAATTAATGGTAGTAAATCATAATATATTTTTTAAACAAGATAAAATGAAGAAATGTAAATGATAATTACTATCGTTTATATTTATAAATTGAAATGAAACGAAAAAACAATTCCTTAAAGTGCAAAACGCTCACATGTTTCCGAGACGTTTGATGTAGGAACTCGATATCCAATAAAGCTTTATTAAGCAAGGGATTGGATAACAAAATGCCAACCTTGACATCGCCAAGCCCACACCCAGCTAAAATCCCCTTATTCTTACAACTGAAATGAACTACTACAATACTTAACTTGTGTCTTACTACTTATCACATAATTCTCTTCTGTAACATTCATAACGAAAATTTAATTAAAAAATTAATATTTTTAAACTTTATGGTGCAATCGTTTAGTGACGATTCGATGTACCAATAATCCGGCGGTGTAATATGTCTACAAGATATAAAAAGGTAAATATTATATGATACATATTTATATAGGGCGGGTCGAAAAAAGTCGTATATTTCTCTTACAAGGGTTGGTCGGCTTCAATATACCTCAAGACTTGTTATTTTCATGCAATATCCGTTAAAGTGTATCAAGATTTATTTTCAAAACAACAAAAATTGTTAGAAAATAATCGTGTGGTGATTCTATTACAAATAAACATTTCTAAGGTCGGATTCCACCCAGCAAACAACACGCTATGCGTTTAGCGGGATTGAAGGGAATCCAATCGGTAAACCACTTCCTGAAAAGGAAACGGTCAATCCAATCATCCCTATTAATCCAAACTCGTCTAAATAATCAGGGGAAAGCTGTCAGCAGATTACGTTTCGAACAATTTTTGACGGATAATAAAAAAAGAGTAAATTATTCTGTAAACCTATTAACCATCCACTTACCTTTCATATTTGTTTCTCTTATAACTATTTTATTCTAAACTTGGATCAATAAAAAAGATAAAACAAACGTTGTGATAAAATATCAATCAAATTTTGAGGATTTTTTTGGTTATTGGCCTTATGATCTTGCTTATTAGCCATAGTACGAATTCTTGTGTGTTCAAATTGGGGGTTATCGGGAAAAAAGGGCCAGAGGCGACGGTGGGAATCGAACCCACGACCGCGGCGTGAGAGTCTCTCATGCTAACCACTCGGCTACCGCGGTCCCGGATTTTGAGGATGGTACAAGAAAAAATGCTAGATGTAGATGTCGATGAATTAGTCTGTGGGTCCTAGTTCATCAATGAACATGTTTAGTAGGCCTGATTTCAGTGACAGGATCTCTTCTACGATTTCGTTGTATGTCCCAAAAAACTCCCCTATGCAGGCAAGCGTAACACCACAGTTTGTTAGTAGGTGTGTCGGTGTTTCCTCTGCTTCTTTGCAGAATCTGCACTTGTTCAGATCTTCTTCAAGTTTAATTTTGCAGTGCCTTATTAAGAATACTGTTAGAATTCGCAGTTTTTCCTTCTTCCTTTACTGCATTTTGTTACCTCTTTCCTTTCAAAATTTACTAGAAGGGTCTTGAATTGTTTGTCATTCGGGAAAATCATTCTTGGCCTAAAGTTTACTGTTTCAAACTACAGTTTGGCTTCCCATCTTTTTACAATTTCTTTGCCGAGGGTTTCCTCCTGATGGGTTAACTCTTCTGTTGCCGTGTTGCCAGTGGGTATTCCTTTGGTAGCACAGCCACCCGTATCATCTGTCGCTCTATCGTCGCTTTTTTGGAACGACATTTTTGGTCCTGTAATGTACATGGGCGTCTATGGATGGCTTCACATTCTTCTCTCGCCTGAGTTCCTTCGGGGTTAGAGATTGCCCGTCAGACCAGCGACGAGCCCCGGGTTCACTCCTAGTTGGGTAGTAATAAAAGGATAGAGAATTTAAAAAAAAATTATACCAATAAACTAAATTTTCGTTTTTAACTAACAAATACCATATTTCTAATTTTAAGACAAACATTGAATTTCAATAATAATTATAATGTGTGGTGTGATTAGTGGCCGTTAGTTAATGATTATTCGGAGATCGTGAGATGCGGTAATGTAGGTTTGAGAAAAACGTTTTGTTTATCGTGCCAACGTTTCGATCTTTATTGAGCGCTGAAGATGATCTCAATAAAGATCGAAACGTTGGCAAGGTAAAGAAAATATTGTTCTAAAACCTACGTCACACCAGACCGCATCTCACAATCTCCGAATAATCAATAATTATAATCTCTTTTATAATCTATTTTAAAACATAAACAACTTTCATGACAACAACTTCATAAAAAAATTTTGTTAAAATGAACTAACTTTGTTCAAATGCGGTCATTATAAATATTTTTTATATTATTTTTTTAAATAAAATCATACCAAATAGATTCCTACTGATGTTTGTTGTTTTTATTTTTACAATTTTGTTTAAAAATTTCATCTTTGTTTGATCATTGCAGTTCAAATAGAATTGTCATCTGCAGCCAGTGTTTGTGCATATTAATTAATATGTTTGTGTGTAATTGATGGAGTACACTTTAGTAAGTCAACTAAGCTCACTAATATTCAGCTAATATAGGTTTCATATGTTTACAAACTATTACAAATTTGTAAAGTACAAATAGAACTTTTTAATTTACATAATAAAAAAGTTTAATTGTTGAATATTATGAAGTATACATAAAAATAATTTTGCTAGAAAGGAAGAAATAATGTCAATCCTTACTTCTTGAGATCAATATACGCAAAACTCTAAACAGTTACATCTTTAACCTTTGCTTGTTGCAGATTAAATAAAATTTGTTTTGTATTTTCTGAGCTGAAGAGGATAACATCAAATCATTTTAAATCTTTACTTTTCAATAATTCGTTTCTATTTATTCCACTTTGAAGATTGAACTTTTATGCGTTTATAGTAGCTTAGTTACCTGCGAATCTTTTAATTTTTAAATTTTTCTTTGTAGTTTTGACGTTCTTTCACTATATGTTGATATTTTATCGTTTTATAAACACTTTTGTACAATTCTGTCGTATTAAAATAATGAAGCTGATTGTTTTTGAAGTATGAAATATTTAAACGCAAAAATTTCTATATATTTTTCAAAGACGAGAATGATTGATGCTTGTGTGCTGAATTTGGGATATTTAAAATTCAAGAATGTTGCAATAATTTTTTGTGGTAAATAAAAATATAGTTTATAAAATAAATAACTAATCATTTGAATTTAACGGACTGTTGATTTTCAGGGTTCATTTAAACACGAACAAGGGAAATGATGTGTGATAACACTTGCTATCGCATCGTCACTTCCGCAGTCCGCTTTTAAACATGCTAATGCCTATTTTACACTCAGTTCCTCCCTGCAGTCCAGCAGTTTACATTGTTATGCAGGAAGGAGGGTAAGTTATTTCAAAACTGTCTCTTCTTAACCGTTCAATTTATCCAATCTAACAAAAATCAAATGCTCCTCTCAAATTGCGAGTTTTTAAAAAACAATTTCTCACGGATAGATTAATTCAGGCTGGGTTGAAAAAATTAAATTTCTCTTGCGTATCTTTGTAGTAGATTGGTGCCAGTCTTTTTATTTAATCGCATCAAAAGCCGGGATTTTTTCCTAAACAGAATATAAAAACATTTTTTTTAATATAGTAATAAAAGTTTAATGCAGGTTGATGTCGGAGGGAAAGGCTCTTTGGTCCATTAAATATTCAAAACGAGAAATCTTTTTATTCAATCTCGCTATACCTTCAAATCCATCTTCGATAATAAATCACATTATAGTTTTAACATCAAGGGCATTGATGATTTTATCGGGGATTTTAGCGATTATTTTTGTTTTTTCTGATGATTTTGGATTGAGCTGTTTAAAATCATTGTAAGTTTGTACGCTTGCCACAACCCCTAAGATTCCAGGCTATGAGTCAACATAATATTATTTATTTAGAATATAAATTAATCGTTTGGTAGTGATGCATTTGATCTTTTATCAAGTAGTCGCGAGAATTGTAACATCTCACCAGTTCTAGCATGAGTTTGCAAAAGGAAGATATTGTTGAAGCAGATGGGAAGGTAAGTTCGTCGAGAGAGGGTGAGAGTAATATTTATCGATTTGTTGTTATTTAGTTTCATAAAATCATCATGTAGCTACAGCTTACAGAAAGAATTGATGGGATCGTTGTGATCCCAAGATGAGAGATTGTTGAGTCATCAGCAAAGGTAAAGATAGAAACTGTCAGAGTTAGATTTGGATGGATCCATCCTGGCTTGCTGTTCCAATTCAACGGCATCCTTCCGTTCATCTAATCCTTACATTTTTTAACGAGGGTATGTCAACTACGAGGTTATATGAACCTCGGGGTGCCGATGTTTGAAAAGCCCGTTTGTATGTATGTCGGGTATGAATGCAGGGCCGCTGGATTCGAACCCGGGACCTTTACCTTACAGTGATGAGTGTCGTGTCAACGCCTAAACCGTTGCGGCCACCGCCGCCCCCGGATATACTTTTTCCTTATAACGAAACTATAGTCCTGCAATGAAGTGCCTTGTCTCTGTCCTTTATCAGACAACTGCCGATATCACTACGCAATTTATTACGATACTATGAAACTAAATAACAACAAATTAATAAATATTACTGTCACCCACTGTCGATGAACTTGGCTTCCAATCTTCTTGAACAATATCTTCCTTTTGATTTGATTCTTTTTGATCTTCCTTTACAAAAGATCAAATGCATCACTACGAAACCATTAATTTATATCCCAATTCCAATTTTGACTCTTTGCCTGGAATCTATGTACTCGCCTAGCGTTTAAACAAACAATGAATTCAAATAGCCCAATCCAAAATCCTCAGAAAAATAAAATCCTTTCTAAGATCCCAATAATCCCAATAAATCATCAATGGCCTTAATATCCCCTCGTACACAACACTAATCTTATCCCGATATCGCAGGTTCCACAAATCACTCCCTGTCAACATCCACTCATGGAAGATCTCTTATCTAAAATCCTCCTGGTAGACTGAAGAGATAATCCTTCAAATGAGAAGAAATTTCGTGTTTTAATTAAATAGTCAGTGAAATGTTTGAAACATTTTTTGACGTATTATGTATTATTTTACATTGAAAATTAGGGATAACGGCAATATCAAAGAAAATACAACATTCAGTTTCTCTAACAACTTTTTGATGTATATTTTATCAGGAATTTAAAACTATTATTTTCTCATAGTTAACAAACATGAATATCTACTTACAGAACTATGGTTCCAACCAGTGAATTTCCGAGTTGATTGTGGAACGAGATCAAATGTTTCCATTCTGCAGTGTCCATTTTTGAAGGGCCAGGTGAATTTCTCTTGATCCAATGACACTATAAAAAATACGTGTTTAATATTTTTTAGATTAATTTCAAATTTTTACCTTTTTGGAAAAAAATTGTACAGGGTACCTCAGGCCCAGTTCAGTTTCAAAATTTCTAATACGACCTTATACTGGCAAATCATTTTAAATGGTTTTTTTCTCTGAAAACTATGGTGCAATCGGATGTTAAATTGGTCAAAAAATGACATAATTATGGCAAAAAGTTTCGGAAAAATGCATTTCGTTTTGATTCAGAGTTAATTCCAACGTACGGTGCCCGTTAATTAATGATTATTTGGAGAGAGTGAGATGCGGTATTGTATGATGTAGATTTAGAAAAACACTTTCTTTATTGTACCTATGTTTCAACCTTTATTTAGATCATCTTCAGGCCTGGGATTTATCAACATGGTTTACATTTTAGTAATATGAATAAATATTAGGTTTCGTGGTCCCGTGGGTTCCAATCCCGCTCGTGGCACTGACTTTTTATCTCAACCAAAGCCTTCATTAATTGAAATTGTTTACACTACGCAAATACTTTTAAGATGTGAAAATGAATTTATACAATGGTGTACACAAGTAGACATTTTAGATTTAATCAAAGTATTTTTACTCATTCAAAGTTTGTGTTTTCTGTGTACTTGTGTTACGGTTGTGTGTCGTGTTGGGAGTTATCCCTTATTTAAAAAATTTTTTTTTTAAAATTGAAGCATTGTGTTTGTTACACAATGCAAGAAGTTATATCAAAAGTATTACGTGCATTTTCTTGCCAGTTTCTAACTGCAAACTTTTGCTTATTTTTAATTGTTGTTCGAAAAGACACATTTGTCCATTGTTAGGGATGAGTCCCTCTGATAAAAAAATTTCCCTTGCCCAAACATTTTCTATTTAAAACCCTACATCACTCCAGCCCGCATCTTACGATCTCTGAATAATCATAGATTAACGGTCACGAATCACCACACATTTCTATTTAAAGTTTACTGTTTGCTTACTTTCTCCTTGAAGGGAACAATCTAAATAAATCCATACGTTTTTTTGCAGGTCTTATTTAACCAAGTTAATGGTTTAAATTAATTAATTATTTTTATCTAACATGTGTGAGATGTAAAATTAGTGCCCCGAGAGGGACGACCTCCAGCCTTGATGGGATCGAGTCCCGTTCGTGACATCTCACCCACACTTTAAATAAAAATTATAAATTATTTTAAATCTAAATAAAGTCGACTCGAGTAGTTGTCAGTCCTGTAAAAAAAACCTCTGATTACTGAATGGTAAAATGCCAGAAAGGTAAAGTCATTTTTACCTTTTTAATTAAAAACTCCTTTCAACTGGTGTGGTTTTATTAAGATCGTCTGATCGTTCCTGATTTCTTCGATCATTCCTAGTCAACATTGTTTCATAAACTCGGTTAATTAACTGCATATAGCTAAAAGACCATTTTTAGATTTTCTTTTAAAAGTAAAATACAAAATCCATTAACAATGTTTTGTACAGTTTTACATTAAACAGTCATGGAAAAATTGGCATTTCAGTTTAAAACTATAAAAAAAACTTTAAAAGAATTTTTAAAATATTTCTTATCTATACATGATTTAATTACAACAGAATTTAATTTATAATTAAAATAAATTGTTTTAATATTTCTTATCTATACAAGATTTAATTAGAACAGAATTTTATTTAAAATTATAACACATTTTTAAATCTTCTCCAACAATAAATGGAACGTTACGAAAACTTCTGTACTGACCTGTTATGTCATTGTATATAGGATAAACAAAATTACGTTAATTAAGTTAATCACAATATTTTTTCAATGGCAGACTTGTGTTTGTCTCGATATGTCGACAAACTTGTAAAAGATCAGGAAATTTGAAAATCGCACTTCAGTTTGTGATTTGCTAACAAAGTGGAAAGATCACTCTCTACTTCCAAGATGATAAATGTCGAAAGATATGAATCGGATTCTACAAGGCAGTAAAGTACGACATGATTCATAAAGACCAATGATATATCCATTATTTATTTTTAAGGGCAAACGGTTATAAATAAGACTAAAAAAAATCTGACAACAACGTGGGTAAATAAAATATAATAAAAGTCTACTATAAAAATTAAGAAAAATTAAATTTTATCTTAAAAAACTGTAGAATGATCGACCGGAAAAAATATAAAGAAATTTGAAGGTACATCAAACGGAAAAGACATTTAGTAGCATAGTTTATTGTTAGATTTCTCTTTTGCTCACAATCACAAAAACTGACGAAAGTACTAGTATGTCATGTATGTATGTTTGTTTTGTTTTTTATATCAACTCTTAGGGTGCCGGTGTTTTTGAAACAAAACAAACCATAAAGCCCATTTGTAAGTCAGGTTTAGGCATTCACCACTGGAAGGTAAAGATCCCGGGTTCGAATCCAGCGGCCCTGCATTACCTTCTAAACCATTGCGGCCACCGACGCCCCCTAAAGCATCTTTAAAGTAAATGACAGACTAAAGAAAGTACTACTGACAAAAGAGAAATTTGAATACGGACTATAAAACCAATAAATTTAATGTGTACAGTAAAGCCTACATCACAAAACGATCAATATAATAATAAACACGTTAGAATAACACGACACCAAAAACATACACTAAATGGACAAAATTCATGTGCATAAAGAAATGAACGAAAACAGCACTTAAGACAACGAACACTATCATAAAACTACTAAGCCAGAAAGTGTACCAAAAACCAACTCACTTGACAAAAATGGCATGTACCCCTAAAAATGCAAATGCAAAGTCAAATACATTGAATAATCAGGATAATAAAAGAAAGTTACAAAGAACACATATGATTGTGTATGAACAAAAACAGAACATCACAGAAAAATACATTCAACAATACAAACAATATAAACAACAGAAAATACGAAAAAATAATATATTTACAAACCTCGCCTATACCAATTTAAAAACAACTAACGATCACAAAAACAATAAAACAGCCTTAAGCATCCAAGGGACAGAATATAAAACTACTGCAGAAAAAGTGCAAAAATTAACCGCACAAATCATTTAGATAATTTGAAACACTAAACCAATTTTTTTTAAAATGGACAAAAACCGACCAGAACAATAAACAAATTTAGACTTAATTCAACAACGGCACCGTACACCAAAACAACGCATACACCCCATCCGTCACGACTTAAAATAAGTTCTAGTCTTCGCAACAATCACACAGACCCAACATTTCCGATTGGGAATTGCCGAAACGCGTCTTACAGATTAACACAGCGAGGACTAATAATGGCGTAATTACAACAGAATTTATGATGAAAGTTATTTGTCTGTTGTAGCAAGAAAACCTCTAAACTATTTGAAAAACCTTTGGACGTTTGAATACCAAACCTACATTTTCTCCCCGTTTCATCAGTATTCGATTCAAGTAATCGGCACATTGAACTGAAAGTCTCCAGCATAAATTATTCAAGAGAAAACATTGTAGGAAATACGAAATATAAATGCAAGTCCAAAAAAGTTTTACATTTTAAAAAGGTCGCCAATGCGTTGAAAAAACCCCTTGCTTAGAATAATTTTATGTAAATAAACTGAAACTCCGACAATTTCAAAATAATATTTCATTTTTCTGAAATCTTTAATCGCTATGAAAAGAATATGCTTTAATATTATTTTTCAAAGCTTGAATGTGCTCAAGTAGTGCATGTTTTCAAGTTTGATATTACATTGATATTCATTTTACGAGTCCTGATCCATTCATGTATGTATATTCTTGATAAGTACATTATACATAACATTTACTACAAAGGAAAATTAGCTTACGAGAATAAAGTTTAAAATCGAGGTCATGTGAGTCGATAATCACAAAGGACTTTTAACGTACGTACGGTCTTCGTAAATTTCCTTTCTCTACTAAACACGCAATTACCAATTTAGTAATTTTAACAAACTTCAAATTTTTCAATTATTTCCCTGGTATAGGAGAATAGTTGACTTGCAAGCGACTAAATCAATTCATTTATTTCACTTCTTTTTTTTTTGGATCACCACCTCAAAATTGTACGTAACAGTAAAGTCTTTCGTTTTGAAAATGAACATTTTCCCATCGATTTATTAAAAATATAAAGCCTGCTAATTGTTCTATATATTTGCTTATTTACAACCAATAAATAAAGTGGGCCGACAAACAGTTGAGGTCATCGCTGACCCTCTGCGTGTTTTTCTTCTTTTTCTCTTCTTTCGCGCGTAGTTTGTTTTAAATTGCAGCCATTTGAGCATCTCGATCTGATTACTGACTCTCTGATTTCAAATATTTACTACGTTGATATCCTTGATTGCTAGCCTCTCGTTTGTTCCTCAGGTTGTCAAATACAGAATCGAAACAGAACATACATCACCACAAACATAGATGTCTGGTCACATTCACTCCCCCAGAGTACTCGATATTCCTCGCGGCGGGGTTGAACCCGTTCCATTCTCGTTAATAACTTACTTTTACTCCCCAGACGTCATACACTCATCCCAGAGTACTCGATATTCCACGGGGCAGGGTTATAAGCAACCCCTTCCTTTCACGCTAATAAATTACATTCATTTCAATAAATTAACATAAAGTCAACACAGATACAACACAAACACACTTAGAAAAAACTATATTCATTTAAAAATCCCTATAGCCCTGAGGTACCGGAATAGCGATCTGTGCCCACTGCCGTGCCCCAAGACTACTCACAGGTCCGCTGATATGCCAAAATATTGTCTTTATACATCAAGCCTTTATACAACAAATGAAAATTTATTTACAACCAAAAATTTACAACCAATAAAAAATATAATTGAAAATAAATAATATTCTATTTAAAATTGCAACTTTAATGAAATATTACACATTATAATATAAATTTTTGGACTCTGTTTGGTCCGAGTTGTAATGGTAGATAGAGGATAATGGGAGATAGGTAAATTGATAGATAAATCGATAGATAGCTAGAAAGATGCTTACTAACGATCAGTTTATTTGTTTCCCACAGACCAGCATATGGTTTATGCTTGATGTAAAAAACGGGCCTTCCTTGCATACTACTCGTACTCTTATCTTCTACTACAACATTATATATAAGTATTGATTAAAAAAGAAAGGAAACTCAAATATTTTCAATCATTTATAGATGTTAAACTGTTTGACTATTCAGTCTTAGAAGAATGGAGATGCTAGACATACATTCCTATTTGGATTCAAATCAATAGTTTCCCTATTGGCCCAATTAGTTGTCGACGAGCAATTCCTGTTTTGAAAATACCATTTTGTATTTGGGGCTCTCGTCTCCACTATCTTCAGGAATGTCCATATCTATCTGCAAGATCTGAGTGCGCAGCGTTGCGTCCCGAAACATAATGTTCTTCAACAAGCTATTTCTGATTACCTGAAAAAAATTATTACTACAAGATTCAATAATTATTGTTTGCAAATAGAGTAGAAAAATTTAAATGAAAATGTGCACGCGTGTGTGGGTGTGTGTATTGGTTGGTTTTTCTTTAATAGCGTAGCTTATAAATGAACCTTTGAACCAAAAATCACTTTTTCTATAAATTAACACAAAATCGTATTAAATATGTATTTAACATTGTGAGATTTGGGACAACGATTTTTATTGATTAAAAGTAAAAAAAAATCGTATTTCTTTTCTTATTTTATTGAATTTAAACCAACTTGTGCTAAAACTCTCGCAAATAGGGATAAAAATAGGACAAAGTATGTCCAAAACGTATGTGCAACTTATGTTAACATCTGACGATTGTTTTAGCTTCAAAGTCCTTGCAAGTAAGCAAACAAAGTTTTGGCGCGTTGACGTTTCACTTATTCGTTGGATAAACTAAGTCTGGCCCGGGGCCCATTTCGTCGACCTAAATGTTCATCCATTAATCGTTGTGGCTTCAAATTAAAAAAAAATCAATAGATTCAGGCTGAGAATGAAAAAAAATTCTTTAGAAAAAATCTGTATATATCTATGCAATATCTTTTACGAACATTTTCCTTTATTAAAATTGTATATACGATATGTTTGAAAAGATAATGTGAGAATATATTTATCATGCTTGAAATGAAAGAATATAGCACAAAAATTATTTGTTTTAGTTGTTAAAAATTAATTACGAAAGAAATATGTTTGGAGTACAAGTACCATAATAAAATTTAAATAAGTTTAGATTACTAAAAAATGAGGCATAACTAATTTTTTTAAAGTAGAAAAGGTCTTTTTCGTTATTTTGCTGACATTGGTCAATATGAAAAAAGGGTGCAGCAGTTCGCATGTGAGGCGAAGTATGATTAATATTTTGATTAAAAAATGGCTGAATGGTGCCGGTGACGTTTTATTTATTTTTCATTACGTTTATTTTTAATGGCAAGGCAAGGCCTACTCATCTAGACTGTACAAAACTTGTCATATTTTTAAAACGTACACGTGTTTGGAAAATTGGTTTCATTCGCTAAACGATAGACTTCATAAACAATTAATGATTTTTTTGTCACTTTGTACATGTGTGGAACACTTTACTCTGCATGCTCCATTAACAATATTACATGCAGACATTATTGACGGGTTATTATATAGCTGAACTTTTTTATAAAAGTTTTATCATTAATTGCTTTTTAATTAAGGGAATTTAACAACTAACAAAATAAAAGGTTTTAATTCCATTTTTTTATTGGACACAATTATTTTTGAAACAATACCATGTATAACGTCCTCTGTGAGTTAAAATCTCAGTGCACCTGTTAGGCGTATTGTTAATGAGCTTGTCATTTCATAAGGAATTTCACTTCATAGATGTTGCAACGTTGCACTCAGTTGTTGCAGGTCAATTGGCTGCGGATGGTGACCGAAAAACCTTCTCTGCAACGCATCCCACATATGCTCAATGGGATGAGTTCTGGTGACAATGAGGGAAGGGGCTGATAGGAAATTCCCAGGCCTTCTAATTGATGAACAACTCTGCCTCTATGATGTCTGCCATTGTCTTCCAGAAATCGATATTCCCTGCCAATGAAATTCCCGGTTTGTGGGATGCATTCCTCGATCATTTGTTGGTTATAGCGGACTGCGGTGAGGTCTTCCAGTGTAAATCCCAGCCTAGACCATTATACCGCCTCATTACGCACTGAACTGAAGAGAGCACGAACTCGAGCATTGTACCATCCCCTGTTCTCGGTAGACACTTCGACGCCTGCTACTACTACGCAGATAGAAACGCAACTCATCAGTAAACATAACAGCATTCCAATTGTTCTCTTCTATTGCGCTCGCTGATCCATATTCTCCTGAGTCGCTGATGGCGGGCTGTTTCTGCTTCCGGGCTGAGACTGCATGTCGTCTCAAAAGGGCATACGATGTGAGCCCAACGTTCTACAAACGATTACGTATCTTTTGTGTTGATAAAGGCCTTGCCATTGCATCATGCGTACAATTTGCATTTAGGATCCGGCGGGCACTAAAAAGGTTTCCGTCTTGCAGCACTAACATTATTTCTGTCCTCTCTTAGCGTCTTAATGCGCTAAGACCCCACTACAAGGCCTAATATTGGCACGTTCTGCCTTACGGAATCGGGCTGAAGCCCGGAGATCACGCTCTGAAAAATGCCAACAAGCTCTGCGATATCCACTAGCAGGGACCATGATGATTCATTCTCACAATAATATTGTTAACTTCCGGTTCAAGATGATGTCTTTCCATGGTTAAAGAGAATACAACTGGATTAAATCAAGAAAAGACGGGAAAATGTATTTGTTTACAAAATGCGTAATCATCACGTTTATTATTCTAAAGTAAATCCGTTATTAAAATTGAAGACTAACATTTGTTTATTTTTGGTTTGTATTTTCTATTTTGTTTTATCGAACTGACAACTATATTATTGGTTAATTTAATTAAAATTAATAGAATAAGAATAAGTTACAACGGCATTCGCGACAATAAATTCAGAAAATTTTAACACACTCTAGGATCAGTTTATCAGTTTTATGTACAATAAAAACAACCCTGTTTCCTCTAGAAATTGGAACAGAGACCCAGATACACATTGCCAGATGGTCGATTCTCATTCTCTACATGCCGGCCACAGACGCAGGCTTTGACCCAAAAGTAAGTGTCCGTATGTCAGTCTCGCATGGCCTATACTTAATCGCTTAAGAATGCCCCTTCTTCTACGATTCAGATCATCCGCATTTTTACCGTCAGAGTGCCATATAATAATAAAATAAATAAATGATTATTTTTTTATAAACCAGGTCTGTTTGTATTCATTATTTACAACACTATTTACGTTTGATTAATTGAATTTTATTTATAAACGAAGAGGCAACTGAACCTGTGATTAGAACACATCTTTTTTTTAGATCAAAGGTNTATATATCTCACTATCCGAGTGCGCGCGCGCTTGTGTGTGTGTTCCTGTCATCAATTTCACGGCATACAGTTCATTAGTACTGCAAGAATTAACAGTCTTGGTGGCTTAGCATAATGGGTCAGCCGTGAAATTGAGAGACATTTTAATTCTGCCTTCGTAGCAATAAACCACTTTATTGTCTATGCTACACTACACAATAGTAACTACAACAATATCAACTGCTTTATTGTTATTATTATTAAGCTAGTATTTTACATTTTAAAACGAAACATTGTCTTATTAATTTTTCAAAAGAACTAATCATGACAAAAATTAAATTTATACATTTCAAAATTATTTTAATTATATATTAACTAATAACGTTTATTCTGTATTGTTACACATACAAGTTTCGACCATATTTACTATATTGTGTAGTAGTTAAAAGGATGGCAAAAACCTGGAATGTTTTTTATCCCTCTAAGATTACATGTTTGTCCCCGTAAAACAACCGTTTCGTTTAAACAAATTTTTTGATGCTCTGGATTGGAATTTTTATAATATAAAGGGTTTTTTAATAGATCATTTTTCGAATTTGCCAAGGGAGTTTTTCTATGTGGTATGCAGAATAATTGCTGATCCCATTGATCCTGAAGCTCAGATTCCTAATTGTAGCAACTCAATTTGTTATTTATTTTTATTTTTTTAATTCAAAACTGTCAAAAATCTGAGTTCACGTTGATTATATTTATATTACAGCAATGTAGAAACCAAATAAAATCTGTATTGATTTGAATGTATCCTATTTTAAATGGAAAATGAATTGGAGATCGACCTCGTGCAGATGAGCGTGGGACATCTCAAAACAATAGTGTCACTGTTATCAATATAAATGTTTCATGATCACTATCATTTCTATGTTACTCTTGAAGAAACATAATAAAGAAAAGCTAAAATCTCAAATAGGGTATACACCCTTCGATCGTCTTAAGCGTCAAATTCCAAGTGTTTAACTCGCAAGAAGAAATTACGGACGTGGGAACACCAGAATAACCTAGCCAGTAAAGGCAGACTAAAACGATCAAAAACGACCAAATTACACATTAATATTGCTCTACGCGCGCACTTCCTCCTGACTGGAATATATTTTGAATGTTTGACAGCGGTTACCAAGAAATCTGAACAATATTAAGAAAATGGCACCAGAGTCCATTTAAGCAAATGATGCTCGAGAAACGCGCCGACCTGTAAACGTAATATTTACCAGACATTAAAGTCACACCGTTTTTAAATATTGTATTGTAAAAATAAATTAAATATCTTTGCTTTTAATTCCAATTTCATGGGAGAGTATGAAAGTTCAAACACCGCCATTATGTCGGCAAGTTTCACGCTGTTCACTAATTACACACCTAATTTGAAGCGACTGCGGATGGTGATGTGCGTCTAAAATCTTAATAAGAGTTAGATACATCAACTTCACCCTAGTCAAAATAAATTGATCAACAGTGAAGCATGTTTACTATTTAGACTAAGAAAATAGTTAAAATGACGTTTTTCAAAATCGTTTTGTGCGCCATGAAATTATATGACGAACTGTAGATGTACTTCTTCAAAAGAAGATGGTGTAGAGTGTTAAAAATTTGTAAACTACTTACAGGTTTTACACCCGGATCCTTTCTAATCGTTGCAATGATTTCCTTCAAAGTTTTGACAATGGCTCGGATTGGTTCAACCGATCGCTTTCCTTCCAGAAGTAGTATTTTCAGAACGGCAATTTCCGGTTCTATGGCTGAAAGGGTTTTTCTATCCCAGGTCAGCAAAGTTTGAAGACGCTCTGTCACGCTCAGTATGTCCACGTTGTCGTCATACAACAGCTTCGTACATGGCAGACACTTCTGAATCTTTACTATATTCTTCCGGATCGAGAGGATATCCTGGTATCGATTCGAATCCGTGTTTACATTTTTTTCGCAAGTGAACAATTTCCCTGACACTTTAGCTCCGTTAGTTTCGAGTTCAACCTTTTCCTCTCTTTGAACCACTTCGTCGTGTTTTTTAATTAACTGAGCTTTGTATTTTAGCACCAAGTTAAGTCTTTCTCGTAATAAGACGCTCGCCTTTCTCAAGTTATTATCTTTATGAGTGTACTCATAATATTTCAACGCCTGGCGTAATTTAATCAGCTTTTTGACAAAATACGAAAGAAATATGTTCTTTTCTAAAAACAGCGATTCTATCTTTTCCAAACCGATTATTATCTGAGTCCTCAGGAGTGACGGCAATGTTTTGAATGATTTTAAGTTACGTCTTACGTCTAAGAGAACCTTGTATGCATCTGAAAATGGGATCAGTGTCTCGGAATTTTTAGTTTCCATTTGTTTTTGATTTTTTAGAATTTTGAACGCTCCAATGAGGGGACCCACAACACCAAAATAAGAGTAAAAAATACGTGCCACATGTACTTTAAATCAGTTGTTAGCCGCATTTTTTAAACTTTTTAGATTTATGTGTGTTAATGGGCAAACCCCAGGGGTGGCCGCAACGGTTTAGGTGTTGATACGGCACTCATCCTTTAAGGTAAAAATCCCGGGTTCGAATCCAGCGGCCCTGCATTCGAACCCGACACACTAATAGGCTTTTTTTCAAAAACACCGGCACCCCAAGGGTTGATATAACCTCTGCCAAGCCCATTTGACATACTAATTTTCAATCTTTGTAACAGTTACATGCTGTTTCTTGCAAATAGTTATAACTAAATACATAAAGCGTTTTTGTTAATAACACACATATATTTGATATGAAGTAGTAGTAAAAGAGATATAAAAGTAAGTTTAAAATAATCAAGTATTGATATTGCAAAGCAGAAAAAAATGTTAAGCATTGATGTTTATTATGAATGATTCTGTCATTTTTTATCCATAACCTTTTGACATTTTGCAGTCATTTTAATTAAACCATCTGACCCAAAAGCGTTTTTTAAATATTAGAATAACAATAACTGCAATGCAGTAGTTTTATCCTTCAAATGACACAAAAGATTATATTATAATTAAACAGCGAACATTTTTTTGGACGTAATAGACCTAGTAACGAGATAGGTCTTTATTATTTTATAATAAAAAACAGGATAAGGTCAATTTGAAATAAAAATACTCAATTTATCTTCATCATCAGTTCTTTGAAACTATTGTTCATATTTCTTAAGGTTAATAAATATGAATAACTACTCACCGTTTTTGAAACTTATTTGTTAAAACATAGGGAAATTCCGCATTGATAATGGAAATTGGAAAAATTTCATTGGCCTGTTTTACTGATAACGTCATTTCATTTTTATAACTTTTACATATTTAGTTTAGAACCTTATAAACTACTCGTAATGACACAAACCTTGCTTCCTCGAATAAATTAGAACCGGAGATACGATATACAATTTTGAATAAAAGGATCTTCAGTGAGGTCACAACAGAAACGACAATTCTTTAAGTTTTTGCCGAGCTTTCGACGATTATATCGTCATCATCAGGGCTATTTATTTAAGGAAAATGTCGCAGTTAGAACATGTTATAGCATTTTAAAAAACAAAATTACAAATTTTTTAAATTATGTTTTCCCCAGCTCGGCAAAAACTTAAATAATTGTCGTTTCTATTGTGGCTTCACTAAAGATTCTTTTGTTCAAGTTGTTCAACAAGCAGGTCGATATATCATCTCATATTTAATATACAATTTTGAGAAGATTATGTTGACTTTATACTTATATTGACATAAAATCTGAATGTTATTGATATAGAAGAAAAAACGTTCGTCTTTCCAAAAGTTGTAATACGGTAGGCTTTTGATAAAACCACGAAATGTTAAAACTTTTTAAGTAGAAAGAGGATTTCGGAGAAAAGAAACTGCTCCTTGCTATTCAGCTCAAAAGCTTTTATTGTTTTGATCTGATTGGTGTCATCGCTAATATATAAAAAATTAGAAATAAAGCCAATTCGAAAGTAAGGAACACTTTGAAACTATTAGTATTTTACAAGGTAAACAAATATGTATGTCTACTTACAGTATTGACACTTCGGGTTCAAACAAGTGTATTTCTTGGTAGATCGTAAAAGAGATCTAATTCGTGAAAAGCATAACGACAGGACTGAATTTTTTTTAAACACTGTTATCTTTTATATATCGATCCAGTGCATCCAGTCCTTCCAATCAAAAGTCCTTAGACAAATTGTTAAAGCACCCTATTATGTCACTAACCTCACTATCCACAAAGACCTCAACATTCCTTTTGCCAACGAACTAATCCAGTCCAGATTCCAAACCTTCCATACCAACCTTTCAAACCATCCTAACCATACGGCTCGAGCCCTATCCACTCATTCTCATCCTGACAACCCACCACGACGCCTCAACCGACGATGGCCTCGGGACCTCCTTGATCCCTAATCATATAAACTGAGTGCCAGCAATGGCTGGCTCCTCAAAGCATGTGTCCTACCGGTGCAGTGTTGGCATTAGTGCTAGTGTTGTGCTGTGTGATATTTCATGCATGTGTACATATTTGTATAGTATATAATTCTGTATAGGTAACAAATAAATAAATTAAATTAAAAAAAAATCTTTTATATATGATTATAATATTACCGCTGATATCAATCACATCCAAATAATCTTTCCTTATTCCATGAAAAGCTCTATTTTTTCCTTAAAAATAGTGATATATTTTTAAGAGCCCCGTGTTTGTTTCTCATTTATTGACATATTCACTTTTTTACGTTTTATTAAACTTACACACTGAAATATTACTAAGTGCTTTAAATTATTCAGTGTGTTTTTATTTCTTCTATTTTTCTTTTTTCCTTCATTTTTTTATATTTGTAAATTTTTATATCGAAGATAAACACGTACACTGTGATAATACTACACCTGTGACGGACAGAGGTCGATAACATAAAATGAATCAGAATATCAAAGAACATGGACTGACTCAATCAAGCGTGGATCATACACGAAAAGAATTTTTTCCGCACGAACTAAACCCACGCCGTCCCCTTCGTTTGTGCAGGTTGTACAAAACATTGCCTGCGAATATTTAACATAAAACAAAATCATAAGAATTCATTGTATGTATTTTACCCAATTAAACAAAAATGATCTATACTAGAATAACAAGAATAATCCAATATTTGTGTTATTTAGGGACCCCTTTTTCATTTTTTGCAGCGTTTCGACGTTTATTCGAGTCATCTTTAGGGCCTAGGTAAACTTTAAAACATACGTTGATTGGAGAAATGAGTTATTCAATACAGATGTAAATAATATAAATTTTGAACCAACTACATAAAATACTATATAAAAGTTTGTTTTGTCAAAATTGTTGGAAAACGTGAAACAAACATGACACCACAAGAATAGCACGACTTTATGTGAGGATGAAATAGTTGGTGCAAATTGTATATTATTTACATCTGTATTGTAACATTATTTTTTCAAATCAACATATGTTTTATATTAATCTTTTTATGTTTTTTGTTGAAATGAAAAAGCTAGTGCCACGAGCGGGATTTTCCCCCTTTTTGCCATTTTTCAAATGACGTCAAAAATTCTAAAAGTTGTAGGTTGAGATGAGGAGTTGGTGTCCGAGTGGATCGAAGTCATGATAGCTCAAGTGGTAGAGCAGCGGCGTATCAAGCCGAAGATCGTGGGTTCGAATCCCGCTCGTAGCACTAGCTTTTTAATTTCAACCAAAACCTTATATAAAAAGATTAATTATATGAAATAAGTTATTTGGTCAATAGATCACTAAATATAATGGATTTAATGTTTTATAATTCACCCAGACTGTGAAGATGACCCGAATAAAAGTTGAAACATAGGCAAAAAAAATGAAAAACGTGTTTTTCTCAAATATTTCATTCCTGATCGCTCCTCACTACTTCAACAAACCTATGATGTATTTCAGACTTGTGTGTCGCCGGATTGAGTTCGATTTTAGGATTATCCTGGGGGATTTCTACGATGAATTAAACCAATTATAGTGGTCTGACCTCTAGGCCATAACAGTCGAAATTGGTCTTAAATCCCTTTTCCACAAAACAACTACACTAACTTTAATTTGTTTTTGAAAAAATATGTTATGACATTTGCACTGACAATAATACATAGGTCTTAAGTTATGAAATGTTTAGATTGATTCAATAAAACTATTACATCAAAGTCAAAAAAGTGAAACAAAATATTTTGGAATTACACTAGATAAAACGAATTCCTTTTAAAGAACAAAATGGTTGGCTTGTGGACCATATGTGAAATCTCTTGCTAAGGGACGGTCATTACTTTTGTCCTATCGGGAGATGTCTTGTAAAGATTTCTCTTAACAGTTAGCAGTCAGTTTTACTTTAAGTTATCCTCTAATGTTCTTATGCCAGGACTCCCAGACTTTTCGTGTGGTATAAAATGAAGAATTTCTTTTCTTTATTTTACATTCAATCTTTGGTGGATCAGAGATATGTGAGCATTAAACAATTTGCACTAAAATTTGAATCATGTAATCAAAACAATAACGGGAAAAAATAAGAACGGTTCTGCGAGAAAGTTGACAATTCACGAAAATACTCTAAATTCAACTAAATCATTATTGCAACATACCTAGAAGTAGTTTTAACGCTAAGACGAATGAGAAAACCAAAATGTTCTATCCCCCTACTCAGGGGCTTTCTGTACCGTTACAGATTGTAGGACTGTAGAGAATCACGACAAAGTCCTTCTCCTTTATTTATAGTTTCCACTAACTAGAAGTGTTAAATGCAAAGAAAAATTAAAAAAACACAAGAAATACAAAAGAATATACAAAATTTATTACCTAGCATATATTTATATCACTGAAACGATTAGAAGCTAACATGTACAACAGGTAATATAAAATATTAGGACCAATCTCGCTTCTTCATTTCATAATAGTAACAGATGAAAACTATGTTTAACATTAACGAAGAAGATCTGTAGAGAGAGTGATTATCAAGAACATCCTAATAAGAGAATTTTCAAAACTCATAGCTTCTACAGATGACAGAAAGAGGATATCTACGAATTCAACCATGATTCTGTTGTTACATTTGATCATAAATTCGGATTTCTATTAATTTAACTATTTTTTATTAATGATCTGTCAATCAACTTTGCTGCACAATCTATCTTTTTTTATCTTTCCTGCCTAGTTTTCTTGGTCTCTCTCTCTCTCTCTCTCTCTCTCTCCTTCCCTCCCTCTCCTTTTCGTTTTACTTTAAAAGAACCATAAGATACTGGCGTTTCTTTCATTTACTTATCACATTTTTTCTCTATGTATACATTTAACTATTTCTACTTATCAATCTTTCTAATTATATATTTTTCTGTTTTTTCTACTTTTTCTCTATCTAATTTTTTTTGCATTATATATAAACTATTGTCTATTTTTTTATTGTATGCTTTT